GGAATTTGATTTCATGCATCCTTTTCAAATAGGTTGCTTTGGGGGATGGTAATAATCAAAACTTAATTGTCCAAAGCCGTGAGTTTGAAATTCTGTATCCGAAGGGCTGCAGTCTTTATGAAACCAAGTGCTTAAAATGATGCCATTTTGAGCAAGAATTCCATGTTCAATTTTTTTTTGCTGTTTTTAAATATTCCTATTATAAGAAAGTTTCTCATACATGAAATGTTAAATTTTCTTTAAAATTCCACTTTGTTTTTGTTAATCCTCACCTGAGGATATTTTTTCCCATTGATTTTGTCGAGATGGAAGGGAGGGAAGGAGAGAGCGAAAGAGAAAGAAACATGGACGTGAGAGACATCAATTGGTTGCCTCCACACGCACTCCGAGCTGGCTGGGGGATAGAACCTGCAACCCAGGTATGTGCCCTTGACTGGAATCGAACCCGAGTCCCTTCGGTGTGTGGGCTGACGCTCTAACCACTGAGCACACCGACCAGGGCAAAATCCCACTTTCTGTTATTGTTGCTGCAGTTGTGGTGGTTTGGAGGATCATTACCTGTACTTACTGGCATCTGGGGTCTCATGGGGGCTTGAGGGAAGTCTAAGCTCCCCAAATAATGGAATCAAGTTTAGTGACGTGTGAGTGGTCCCCAGGAAGTGCTGGTACTGACATGACCCAATTCTTTCATGCTTAGCCCTGCACGCTAACCCCACCTCCACCCCAGTAGCATCCAGCTCTTCTGGAATCCTAGAGTTTCTCAGTGGAGAGGACCCCCCCACACACACACACCCATCCTCGTGGACAGAGAAAGAGAACGTGTCGGTGGGCAGAAACGTGATGTTCACCATCAGACTGAAGCATTACAACGCTCCCTTCCCCTTTTCCTAGCCGAGACGTTTCCCAGGCATTCATTGTCTAGCCGCCGGCCGGGTAGCCCCTTCCCGTTTTCCCCGAGATGGTCTGTTCCGCCGAGAGGGCCGTGCCACGCTGCGTGGGCTGGGGAAGGCAGCCGCGGGGAAACAATGCGCCGCGCCGGCTCCTGGCTTTTGTTTGCTCGTCCTCGGTACCTACTCGTGGTCCGGCATCGGGCTGCGGCGAAGTCGGGTGTCCTAGCGCCTCGGTACCCCGCGCGCGGGCCGAGAGGAGCGGGGATCATGCCGGCCCTCTGCACCATCCGCCTCTCCCTGAAAGACATGCTGTGTGTCCGGGGACCCGGCCCGGCCCGACCCACGTGCGGCCGACCCCGGCTCTGCCATGTGCTCTCGGGCTGCAGAGCGGCTCCTCTAGCGCCGCTGCTCCGGCACCTCCTCTCCTGCGTTGTGTCAGCCTGCACGCCGCTTCCTTACGAGCTAGCTGAAGAAGGAGCCCGTCCGCATCGTGTTCTTGTCCGGCCTGTGTCAGGAAAATGTATTCTTAAAAAAAAAAATTATTATTTTTTTTTAAAGAAAGAAAGAGAAAGAAGGGAGGGGAAAAAAGGTTGCCATCCAGTGGAGGAAGGAGTAATTCCCAGCTCCATTCAGGAAAAACGCAGGCTGAAATATGCTTCACTGTTTTAAGTTGGCTGGGCTTTTTTTTTTTTTTTTTAATCACCAGAAGGGTTTTTTTAGTGACATCCGGAGCCAGGAGGGTGCAGTGCGCCTTTAAGGAAAGAAGCGCCTCACCAAACTTCGCTGTAGTTGTAGCTCGCCGTTTGCGTAGGGCAGGAAAGTGTTAATTTCTTATTTGTACACTTTTTTTCCCCCGACTTCCTTCCTATTCACTTCATTAAATCTAGAGGCAGTTCGGCATGGGAGCCGTCTGTATGTTGAATTAGGGCTCGCACTCTTGCGCAACACGTCACCAGTCGGAAACTGGGGGTTTGCTTCTGTGATTTATTTCATTATTGTGCTGGTAAAAGGTTTGGGAGGGAAATCTTTCGGGGGTAGTGCTTTAGCATTGTGTAGCAAGTTTTCTTTTTGTGGCCCCCCCTCCCCCCCCCTTAGCACTGAGTTGAGTCAGTGTAGCCAGTGGAATAAGTAATTTTTTAAAATTAAAGAACAGTTTTAAATGTCCAAGGATAATTTTACTTCCATGCAGGAGTAATCTTACACCACTCCTTTAAGTGCTAAAAGCACCGGGAAATATTTAGAGAATTGATTTCCATTAGAACAAGACCCTTGGAAATCCCTCTACAACAAGCACTGCATATGGATGTGTTTGGGGTCTTGGGGGAGGAGGGAAGGATGTTTGTAGCTGTCTGCATTCCTGCATAAAAGCCTTACTTTAAGGGGAATAATGGTCAGTACTTTGTGTGTTTCCATGTGATTCCAAAACCTAAATTTAATAAGAATCTGCATGTATTAGCAATTGTAATAAAAATTATTTTACTAGTTCTTTTTGTAGTTTAAATTGTTTTTGCTTTTTAGCTACTTAGATTTAGAGATTTAACAGTCCAACTATCACTAGCTTATGCTTTGTTCCCCCCCCCCTTTTTTTTTTTGCAAAGTTAAGGGGGGGTGAGAGTAGAAATACTCTTTCACAACTTCCCCCTCTTCATTTATCCCACTGAAAAGAAAAACAATGAAAAATTTTACAGCATGAAACTGAAAGTGAAGTGTCACAGTTGTTCAGGGTTTTCTTTAAAGAACAGAATAACGTATTTTATTCAAATATTTATACTTGAGAACATGCACATTGCTTTTACTGACATGCATTTAATGAAAAAGAAATTCCTTTATTAAAAAAAAAATCATCTTAGACTGCTCCAAAACCATGCAGCTTGTTTTATGAAAAACACTAAAATGAGGTTTCAAATACCAAAAAGAAGCATACCTTGTTTTAATTTTTGAAAGTAGATTTGAATATTAATTTGTTTCCTTATCAGCTTAATTGTTAAAATGCAAGTAAGAATCAGAAACCGCCCGAGCTAAAAAATCTTTAATTCTGCTGCCTGAAATAATAAGAGGAGAAAAAAATATGATAAGTAGTTGTCAATATTAAAACAGGCTGAAGGAGGAAGGCTTCGGGCCTTGTAGTAGGGAGAATGAAACAGCAGATTTGAGTATCCACAATCCTTTCAGTATTAAATTTTCAGTAAAATAAAATTACTTGTATATGAAAACATAGCCTTTCCCAGCTCTCTTTTTTTTCCTGATCAGCTGATGAAGAGACTAGCAGCTCGCTGCTTTGCTGGCTTGTTAATTTTATCCCCACTAACTGTGATTTCCGATAGCCGGCCTGCTGATAGTGGTAAGGTAAATATCCTTTTTCGTTGCCGTCTTGAAGATTCAGTAGAACTACATCCCAGGCATGTGTAGGTGTGTAACACATCAAAAGCCGGTGTTCTCTGTATTTCTGTGTGCAACTGGGTGCTTGAGAGCAATACCATTAACTGTTGACAGCCTTGCATGCTGTATTTATTATTAGCATGTTCAGCCACCAAGATTTGCGGGACAATTTCCTTTTCTTAATCTTTGCTTAGCTGCAGTGTGTTTAGCTGTATAGTGGGTGTCCTGCTTTTAGGCAAATGAATATTAATGAAATGATGTGGAGCTTTTTTTCTTTTTCCTCATAATTCATCAGATCTCGCCTTCTTCATTGTGGTTATCTGAACATTGTAGGATCGTGATAGAAATTGTCTTTTGATTATTAAGGCCTGGGCTCGGACTGTCTGTGTGCATGTTGCTTCTATGGGTTTGCACATTGGGAGATGCATAGAAAACATATTGTAAATGCCACAGGCATTTTTTAACATGCCAGGTTGTTGTGTGTTCTGCACCAGGTTTTCTTCACAAAAACCTTTCTTCTTCAGGAGGCATTGTACACAAGTGAAAGAAATTATGTCTGAGCTGTAATCACTCTTTATATTGATTGTTATACTCACATGATCATAAATATTAGCCATGTTTGGTGCTGTGGAGAAATGAAGGTAATTGCCTTATGATTAGAGCTCTTTCAGCTTCTCGAAAGGATTGATTAGCATTTGCATACTGGAGGCAATATTGAGAGGCAGGAGGAACAAATAACAACATCAGTTATTTTGTGTGAGAAGGCAATCTTAAAATATAATTTAAAGGTTTTAAAAAATATTTTTCTTTCTGTGGTTAAATACTCTTTTATCTGTTGTGGTTTGGGCTTTTGTTTTTTCTTTTGCATCCCCCCTTCTCTCCCCCCCACCCCTCCCACCTCTGTTTTTCTTAAGTTTTGAGATTTACCAGGGGAAAAAAAGTTTAAACTTCTGGGTCTGTCACATGGATCTTTTAGCCATTTATGAACAGGTTTCTTTTATGCCTGGTTGTTTTTATAGCTATTTTATTATCTCTCTGCATTAGTGCTGCTGGCTCTGGTTTAAAGCAAGCGTTGGCAGGTAATTGGAAAAAAAGTGTTTGTTGTTTGTGAGTGTGTGTGTTCTTCATCGGATGATTTAAGTGCCTTTACAAAGGAATGTGGCTTTGTACTTCTCCGTTTCCTTGTTTACGAATGGCTACGTGAGAACAAAAATCTGGATGCAATTTTGATTTATGTTGTGAATCATGCATACATTGATGTAAAAATCTTAAAAAAGAAATGGTCAATGCTTATATGATGGTAAGGATGTATTCTCAAGGAATATTTTTTTCTTCACTCATCCCCCCTTTTTTTTTTAAATTATATCTTTTCCTCCCTTACAGTAATGAGACAGTTAAGGTCTTTTTCTTCTCTTGAGACACAATTTCAATTGGATTCAGTTACTTTAAACACCTAAATGTACAGATCTTCTCGTATTTGTCATAGTCTTCTTTACTATTAGTGTTTCAGGCCTTCAACATATTTTGCTCATGAAACAGACTTGGGTTAAAGATGCGTTTTATTCGATATGGTGGTCTTCCCTTTTTCTTCCTACTCCACTGATTGCTGTTAACTTTTATTTTTTGGTTAGTTTGTTTCATTTTAGTCTAATTAATTCAAATTCTGTGTGTGTGTATATATATTGGTTATCCTCTTGTCTTGAATTTTTCTCCTTCATTCCCTTGTAACAGGCCATTGAAGACGGCAATTTGGAAGAAATGGAAGAGGAAGTACGGCTTAAGAAACGAAAAAGACGAAGAAATGTGGATAAAGATCCCGCAAAAGAAGATGTGGAAAAAGCTAAGAAGAGACGAGGTCGCCCTCCCGCAGAGAAATTGTCACCAAACCCCCCCAAACTGACAAAGCAGATGAATGCCATCATCGATACTGTGATCAACTACAAAGACAGGTGAGTGCCTCTCCCCTTGCCCTTGGTCATCTTCACCGAGACCCCACCCCCGCAAGGCCACATCAGAGCAGGCGTTACCGAGGTGTGCACTGGGCCTGGGGCCTGGTGCATGCTTTCTACTTAGTGTTTTGTGGCTTTCACTCAAAGGTGTGTTCAAAATGGCCACTACTGCTGTCTTGTATGATGTTTGATGGCTGTTTGGGAAGCAGGAGTTTAGATTACAAAACTAAGAAAATTTGAACTGGAGAAGGATTCTTACATCAGGGATGTGGAAGGATTGAAACAATAGAGTGAAATTATACTTCTGAGTTGAGTTGTTAGAGAAAGAACAGTCCTAGCATATTTAAGGTAAATATTTCATGTTAAGACTCTGTTTACAACCAAACAGGTGCTTCATCGAAGTTACCGGTCCTTCTTTCCTCCCAACACCCTTGACCGTCTTGTCTGAGCACTTGCTTGAGCCATCTTCTTCTCCCCCCTAATACTGTATAGACAGCGTGGAAAAAACTTTGCCTCTTTTTCATGGAACTTTTGAATGTGAATTTTGAGAAATCTGTCCTGGACACTATCCCCAGACCATTTTAAACAATGAACAATTATTTGAAAACCAAAGCAAAGGTGTTTTAGGGTGTCAGCCCGCTACAGTAGGTAATCTAGTTAGACTACATTCTGGTTAGATGATTTGGTTTCCAGTTGCTAAGCATGTGAATGGGACGATAACATGTCATTTTGATGGAAAAAATTGATAGGAAACAAAAACATTTCTCTAAATTGCATATGGTATTAATCATTTTTAGTTACATATATATATATATTTTTTACATTAACTAGTGTTGCTCTGTATTCCTGAAAGTTTTAAAACGAATAACTAAGTTGTGATTTTAGTTTTTCATTGTGATTTTAGTAAATGTGTTATACCAGGGAGAGAATGTCATTATAAAGATTAAATAGTCACAAAAGCAAGAAACTTTCAACCATGGGGTTTTATTGTTAGGTTTTTATTATATTATTTATTAGGAGTTTTCAGAAATGGTGACGAGTGAGTGAGTGGGAGGAGGTGTGTGTGAAGGGTGAGAATAACTTGCCCCTCTTTACCGACCAGGTCTTGTTGGTCCCCCGCTTCCTATTTTTACTACCCTCCCCTTTTTTCACAGAATTCTGAAGTGGCCTCAAGGGGGACAGCCCCATTATATTGCGTCTGGGTGAGCTACTCCTTGACACGGGGGAATGACAGCAATTCAGGGAGGAAAATTTGGCCAGGAGTCCATTCTTTTACTACAGTGAACAGCAAACTTCCTTGTAAACCAAGAGTCAGTAACTCTGTCAAGTTTCTATCTACCCCCAGCCCGATGGGTAGGTTTGTTGGAGGCAGGAACAGTTTCCATCCAGGAAGCCAGCTTGGACTATGGCGGCTCATTTTATCAGCCCCTGGCTTAAAGAAAACAAAAAAGGGGGGAGTATCCCTCTGCATATACTTCTAACTCTTCTTGCCCTTTGTCTCAGGAGAGCAAAATGCCTGTGTCTCTGACCAGGTGTGCCTGGGTCTCTGACAGGCATCTGGGTCATTACCTGCTGTGCGTGAGGTTAGGGCTGCTGTAGCGCTGAGAACAGCCAAGAAAGTCCTGGGAGGCTCGGTGCCAGGCCTGGTATTCCAGGGATGGCTGTCTCCTGCTTCATGGCAGGAAAGAGGTCACCAGCCGGTGGACCACAGGTGGTTTTCTTTCATATTTCATGTAGTTTTTTAAAAAATTAAAAAGTAAACATTAAATTAGCGAGCTTTTTTAAAATAAAACTTGAGAGGTGGTTGTTGTTGTTTCCCCCCCCCCCCTCCCCTTTTTGGAAAACCTAAATATCTAGCAGCAATCTACCCAATTTTCCCTTTGGCAACAGCTGCTCAGGGTGAAGAAGTGGCTGCCGCCTCTTCGGGCTGTCATGCTCTGTTTTGTCACAGTCCCCGTCACATCACGCACTTTCACTCCTCCAGTAGGAGTGACCGTTACCATTTAGCATCATGCTTTTCACACCTGGCCCCCTCCACTCCTTTATATCACCTGCTGGCTCCATAGCCTTTGGAGTTTGTGATTTAAGGATATCCATGGCTGTGGGCTGACCACTTTCCTAGAAACTGCCCAGAATACAGAGGTGTATAAGGTTAGGTCACTTAAAAGTCAGCTAGGCATAGTGCAGTAGTTAGACCACAAGCTCCTGTCTTGTTTCATGTCTAAACAGATAGAGTGAGGGCCAGTTGGATTTAAAACCTAAATGTAAAAGGTAAAAAAGATAAATTAAGAAAATGGTTTTCAAATCTGACTACATCAAAATTTAGAACTTCTAGAGATTTTTAAAAAACAGTCTACAAGATATGTTATATGATATTTTCACCATATACAAAAGGATAACATTTACAACAAATTAAGAACACTTTGTGGCTCAATAAGAAAGATAAAAACATTCTGATTTAACTACCTGTGTTTGAATTCTAACTCTAGCATTTCGGGGCCGGGGGTGCACGGCGGGGGGGGGGGCAATTCACTTAACCTCCCTCCGGCCT